TGCATAAAATAAAGAAAATTTCGCTTATCTTGATAATGTTGACTATCAATTGAGTGCTGTTGATAGTAGTGGTGTAGCCAGGAACTTTTAAGGGGGTGAGGGTGGAGGGGGTTTAAGCTGGCTGGGTTGTTATGACGTGGGACGCGGGGGGGAGGGGGGGGGTGGTGTTGAAATTTGTGTGTATATTCTAGGGCCCGCCGGATTTGGGGAGGGGGAGCGAAGATAAGCCCCCCCCCCCCCCCCCCCCCTGGCTTTGCCACTGGATGATACCATAAGGGGAGCATCCTACATTCACAGGCTGCCATAAGCATGTGCAGAGCCACTGAACTCGTACCACAATGGCAAGATAGTTGCTGACATTTTTCACGTTACGTAGCGGTTCTTTCTTTAGTACATATGCTAGTTTTTTCCTTCACACATCTACTCTGCTTCAACAGTGCGTATTTGCTCTGCATTACAGGCAAATTTAAAAAAAAAATCCAGCTCCCACTACTCTATAATTTCAACGAGTTACTGTCACTTTTGAAACAACAATCTTTTTAATTTGTATGATAACCTTTACATTAAACACACAGGTGTTGAATGGAGGAAAATTGTATCTTTATTATTTTTCTTGGTCATGGAGATGACGACCATCCACAAGATTGCACTGGCTAAATTTCCCGTCTACAGTGGGTAACAATGTTACCATGCTCCGTCAGACTAAACTCCTGCTGTCTAAACAACTAACGATTCATTTTAGGACACACTGTTCGTAGTTCATTGCAGGGCATCGAAAAGTGTTTCTTATGACTGTCCGATGACTGACATGCAATTCCAGAAGCTTGGCGTGAAAAGGTAAAATATCTAGTTGATACAATAAATTGCCATCAGCAACCCATCCAGATTTTATTGCGTGATTCACAGTAGCTACAAACCGCAACAAATGGTCAACTCAAGACATAGGTATTAAGCGTGCACTAACTTCGAAGCGGTAGAAACCCTGAAATTTTAACGTAAACTTACCACCAAGTTGTTAATGACAAAGTGGTGTTTGCGGAAAAGTGTTGGAGTCCTTCAGAACGGTGACGATCTCCTTCAGACCGATGATGATGGTGACGAAGGTTCTGTTAGATTCTAGGTTCCGTCAACGCACCCCACGACGTCGGTGTGCTTGTCGTGGTGGCGACAAAAGCCTTCTTTCGCAGATGCCTCAGCTGCCTCGGTTCGGGGTTTCGTCGACCCAGCCGTCTCGTCCCAGCCGGTTGACAGCGACACTCGCGACGGCCGTCACGGCTCTGATCACCATCCACTGGGCATTAGCTATGTGATCATCGGTGGCAACCGCGCTCTTGTAGTTCCCCGCTGCGAAAAATCTCAGTGCGATTCAATTAGTCTGCTGCTGCTCGACGATCATCACCTCTCATCGTCGCCGTCTCTCGTCGCGCAGCTGGTCACACTGCGATCACACGGTGCTTTTCGACAAGCGGTTGTCGTCAGAAACAGTCGTCGTGCATCGCGAAGGCTACTGGGTGCTCGCGGAAAACCCGTCATTGTACGCGTTAATCGAGCCAGCGTTGCACAACAAGCATCGCCGCATTTTCTACGCTCTATTCTTCGTTTCAGCTTCGGTCCAGACGCAGCCAAAGCGACAAGCGCGAGCTCCGGGCTTTCAGCATCCCTGCCAAGCACGCGCGCTCGTGCAGTGCAAGCACTGCTCTGGGCCACATGCTCGCGCTTCTAGCACCGGCTGCGTCTGGACCGAAGCTGAAACGAAGTATAGAATCCTGTCTAAAGCTTGTTCCCCTTCGTGCAATAGAAACAGAACTTAAAACCACGAGCACATCACCCCAAACGATGCTTGCACGAACGTTGGTTTGCACTGCGCAAGCGCGCCTGCTCGACAAGGACGTTGAAAGCCCGGAGCACGTTCCTGTAGCTCCTACACCCGCACTAGCTCGCACTCATAGTGAAACAGAGAGGAGGGTGTGTCGAGTAATACCGCAGTTAATCTAGTTACGCGACTTCCGGTATGTGCTACGCAGGTCGGACGTGGTCATACGTCACTTTGTCGTCACGGTCCGAGCTCGAAGAGTGACAGTTACGGCAAAGAGTTGCTTTCGTGTTTCGCGAACGTTACCATGGGAACCGCGTGGAATTATCACGCGGGCTGTGGCCAATAGGAGCGCGCGGTTCGTAGGGGGGAGGAGTTTTCGAGAAACACGAACGTTACCGTTTGTGACCAGAATAGCACCCCAGATCGAAAAGGGCAGGGGTGGGGATTGAACCCAAAATGCTGGGTTCTGCAGCGCGAGCTTTCGCTCCACGTGCTCCGAGCTGGTGTGCGCTGGCGCGCTGGTCCACTCGGCCACCGATCCCCCGCAGGGAAAGGACCTGTCCTTTTCGTTTTCCCGCGCTGCTGCAATAGACAGATTCGCGGAAAGTCGGAGGCCCACAAAGAAAAACCGAGCTCCGTAGAGCCAGGGCCTCCTCCGACAAGGGCTCCCGGCCCTCCTTCGGGGCCGGCTTTTGTAGCCTCGGAGATAAGGACGCGCCCGGGGAGGCCGGTAGTAGTCGCGTCCACTATCACTTTCAAGTGCGCACCGGCGGCAGATTCACCCGAATGTGGGCGAAGGAGAACCACCACTTCGGGGAATACAGCCTCGGTTCCTCATATCCGGGGGTCGTCGCCATTGGTGACGACGACCCCCACAGCCTGCTCGAAACTAGACCTAGATAGGGATATAGGGAGCCCCATGGTTCCCACAGGCTAAATAAACTTTTATTGTCTTACTGTGGCCTTTAATGCGTACATTAGCTATCTTAATAGGTTGTATCGGTCGACTATTAAGCCGCTCATGAATGTTGGTGTCGTCGGTTTGACGTCTGTGGATTAAACGTCGAATTGTTTTTTGCGGTGTTACATATGGGACAAGGGGTGTACCCTTATACATCCCTATTTCTAAGAGTGTATAGACAAGCGAACACATGACATCATGATAGTTAATGTTGTTGTGTTCCTCCCGGTGGTGTGGGAGGCAGGTTCCGCTTCGATGGTCTGGAGCGTGGTGGCACGAACGTCGTTGAGTGACGGGTCGACTCACTGCTTGAATAGAACTATGTGCATTTATTTACACTCTAGTTACAAGTCCCAACTTGGGAAACCATCCTGCCTCGTCTAAAGTCTCGACCCCCGTCCTCAATTTCTCTCCATCAAATCCAAAGTCCGAATCCCTCAAAATCCTCTCCGCGTTCTTTTTGTAGGCCCGTAGGGGCCTCCTTTCCCCTCAGGAACCGACCAATCTCTTCAAATTCCGCCACTCACACGTGGTACACTGTTCTCCAATGGTCGGCGAGCTGTCATCCTGGCGCCCTAACCGTCAAACCTAAATTCCTCGTAGAGTTGTTCTCTGCAATTTTCCCAGCCTGACTGGCGCCAACCGCTAAGTTATTGCATCGGGCAAAAAGCGACAATTTTATACAAAGCGGCAAAACCCTCCATATACAGGCACATTCGGCTAAAAGCCGCAAGCAGCTGCAAGAACGAGCTGTCCCAGGGATCTGTCCGAGCAGACTTCCGAAATCCGAGACGTTTCTTAAAGGGGCGGTGCAACGATTTTCAGACTTCGGTCTAAGATTTCTGGAAGTTGCCCCCTGACACTTCTGAAGTAAAGAACAGAAAACCGATTTCGCCTGCGTGTCCTAGTTGTTGCGTAAAAAAAAAAAAAGATTGGCATTTCGGGCACCCCTCAACACACTCCCAGTCTTCAGGGTCCCACCTGGTCGCACTCCCAGTGACGTCATTCGGAGTGCCGTGTAGTTTCCCGTGTGCTATCTCGGAGGACGCTTCCCCTCCCTCTCTCTGCGTACATTAGCGGGCGCTATGCTGCAGCTTAGAGCCGAGCGAGGTCACGTAATCTTTCCGCCGTAGTTCCTTCGGCTGCCACTTGGGGCTGCAGGTGGTGGAAAAAGCTCGACTTTTGCTTTGCGATTATGCAGCGGAATCGCGACATTTTTAATGAAGGAAGTGTTTTCTCTATCCTCTGGGATACGATAAACAACGTAAAAATGACGAGATGCAAATTGTTTTAATCATAAAATCGCTGCACCACCCCTTTAACGACCGGCGGGGGAACCGCTCACGCATCTCGGCCGCTCTGCCCACGCAAACGCTCCCTCCAAAACGCCAACACCCACAAAGAAAGCTAAAAAAGCAATGCCGACGCAACTCTGGAAACTTCTAACACAAGAAAACACCCTAATAAATAAGCATGATTTCTATATACTTAACTATGATGGCCAATGCTCGTGACATGTGGCGAATGGATGAGGCAAGCGTTGACCATCATAGTCGGTGGCGTGTTAAGACACCACCACCTAGACAGAAGGCCTCCACACGCGTCATCATAGTCAGATCGATCGAGGCGAGAGATTGGGCACGAGTGCTGCGTCAGTGTTCGGCTGCGGCTCGTGGCCAATCAGCGTGTCGAAGGTCGGGCTCGGGTCAAATAGCCGACCGAGCGCGATCCGACTGTTATGACGTTTCATAGAAGAAGAGGAAACCATGCGGAGGCCTTCTGTCTAGGTGGTGTTGGTTAAGAACCCTGAGAAGCTGTCTGCTTTGAGCTGTTTGCCTTTGAAAACGCTTTGGCGCACGTGCAGTTAAAGCCCGACGGGAGGCAACCTGCGCGTGCTGGAGGTGGACCTTCTACTTGGTCCTTCACCTGTCACCGACCATTGGCTGCAATTACATGGATGCGACCGTAGCGCATCGAGTTGGGATTTCACGATTTTGATTGGTAGCAGTTGGGTAGAAGAGGAAGAAGTAAGAAGAGAGGCTGCGTGTGAATGGTCTCTGCTCGATTCGATGCACTACGATCGCATTTATGTAAACGTAGCCATTGCGAAGCTGTGGATGTTTATGAAACTGGAGCTGAGTTTTCCGACTTGGTCTGCATATTGATCGTTACTTTTATTTCATATACGTGACAAGACGATCAGATGCAGGAGTGGTAGTAATATCCCAATTATTCGGAATTGGGCACGCGGTAGCCGTCGGTGGCATGTGTCACATGAGCCCGGTCTACTGCCGCTCGTGCTTCGATTGCCGGAGCACCCACTCGGTCAGCTGCCGGCGGACCACCTTGCCGAGTCTGTTGCGTGGGATGGCATCTGTCAGTGTGACGCCACCTTTCAAGTGGAGGTATGGCGGCGCGTTTTCTGTAGGAGAAACATGTGGAAATTGTGAAAACGCACACACTGCAGGTTAAAGACCATCCCATCGCCTGAATGAATTGCTCAAGTACACAGACTTCCGTGAGATCTATTTCCAGAGTATCTGAAAAATGATATAATGGACCTTCCGCATAAAAAGACAGGCAAGATGGCTTCGACCACGCGCCGAAGTATATTGCCACGCGCGTCAGCGAGCAAGCGCGTGCGTGCCCGAGTGGTTACCGCGCTTGAATTTCGCGCGGAGGCCCAGGGTTCCATTCCCGGGAGTTACGCGTCTTTTGTTTATTCTTTCAGTTTAATGTTCTGTTAAATTCGAGATCACTATTGCTTGTTTGAGGTCCGAATCTTCTAGTAGCCGAACCTTCTACGCCGATTGTTCCAGAAGCCAACGCGGGTACATAAGGGGCTCCTCCGCGTGGCGAGCCGCAGTCAGTCTCGCCCCAGCGTTCGATCCTGCTGTTACTCCGACTTCGACGACCGCGATGCTCTGCTGTTATCTTCTGTTTCCTTTTCTTTTGGGCACAAGTGCGCCCTATTAAACGTTTCAGTTCTCTTTGTTAATCTTTATTTCGTCACCTCGTCATTCGTGACAATATACAACATCAGTAAAACTCTGGTGCAACTTACAGTTTTACGTTTCGGATGCCATGTCCTGTGTAATTCTATTTTATTTTAATTTTATTTTATCTGGCACGAAGCAGCCGGGCTAAATATATGTCCAAAGTACAAAACTGTCAAAAATCGATGATTCCACTTGTGGGAGAAACATAAAACGTTTTTTGACGCAAGGTCGGGAGCACTTTAGCTGGAGTAGCCGATTCTCGGGTTTCAGCGATTCTGGAATCGCGGTGTGATAAAAGACTTTTCTGCCTCGGTATTGGTTTACTCAATAATGCCAAATATGGTTTAACCTTACTCTGCTACAAGATAGGATGTTCAGTCATAGTATCACTCATAAGTCACAAAATGAAGTTCCCTAAGGCATCTTATATTGAACCACTTATATCTCTGCCGTAACATTCAAAGCACACTTTTATGTCAAGCATAACCCCAATAGTCCGCGAACCTTGCATCGAGCCTTTTAAGAAGCCGGGCGCTCGAAACAGTTTCACCGCTATTCCATTTGTGGCTTCCATTGCCGAAATACCACAGGGTGCCGTCTTTTTTCTGAGTGTACCAAAGTAGTCGGTGGACGTCTTTTATCAAAAACGATTTGCACACCTTTTAATGAACGTATCTTCAAACTATGTACACCTGCAGAGGGGCGCTGTCAAGGCGTAGTTATTTTCTTATTAAAATTAGACCAAGAAACTCGCCCAATTCAACGGCGTGCGCGTTCGCAGACGACTCAATTAGCGATGAATGTAACTTGTGCCACCATCTCCCGATAGACGTACGTAGCGAGCACACAGCAGAGTACGTCGTCTACTCGCTACGGCTATTGGGAGATGGCGCAACAACTTAGTTCATCGACTCGGTCGCCTACGAAAACATCCGCCGTTGACACTGGAGGGTTTGTTGGTGTCATTTTTTACAGTAAAATAACTACACTTATTCACTACCTAAATGCACATTCGGTGAAGATTTGAGGGTCTTGTGTCCAGACGCCAATTTTTTCCGGTTGGTTTAAAAGCGTGGGAGACACTTTGGCCACCGTATACTGTACAACAGGCAGAATCCGGTCTCGTTGTCACTTCTTCCAAGCCGCTGAATCTATTGCAGTCTTGTGATCTAAACTGCAATTTAATATTCCTCAGAAGTGCGCGTATACACTTGATTGAAGAAGGCTTGCATGTCGAAGCGGATAGCAAAACATGAAGTAGTGTCGTGCATCATCTGATTTGAGGGCGCATCGATAGGCAAGCCCAGAGTCAAGATTTTGCTCTAAATATTATTATATTAATAAAATATTATTAATATTATTTTATTCATCGATTCTTTAACCGTGAAATAGGGGTTCCCAAATATCGGTGGAGTTTGCTATCTCAATTCTGCGCGTGTCCCTGCATTCTCCCCCCCCCCCCCCCCCCCCAGACCCTTTCAATGTAACTTCCATTGAAGGTTCGTGTGATCATCTGTCATCTGGTTAAGAAGTCAATACGAAAAAAATAAAACACACCGAGATCGTGACTCACAGATGTTTTCAGGATCTGTAAAAGCCTGTCTTCTAATACATTGTTTGTTTGTTTTTTTGTGTTTTTTTAACAGTTTTATGAGCACGTTTGATGTTCACTTTATTTTGTTCACTGACTTCTCTATGCCTGTCGCCCTCTATATTCAGTAAACTGAATGCGCAAGACACAATGACTGTCGCACTCCACTCCCCCCCCCCCCCCCCCCTTCTTTTTTTTACTTCTTCGTTTTCTCTTTTTAGCAGATTTTCCGCCCATCGATATTAGGAATTGTTTTCAGGTAGCGTGCAGGAATAGATCGCTCTGGGTATCCCCGGTTCTCAGTTTCGAAACGTCTCTACCAACCCAAATCCTTTATGTTCTCCGAAGCCACGGCTAATAAGCCCAGCGAATTACGCGATATGTCAAAAGTTGAGACCTGCCTTCCATGAACTTGACGAAGTGGTCTTTTCCGACGTGATTGTTAGGAACAATGATGGCGTGTGGTAGCTGCTGCGCCTCTTTGTCTGGCACGCCCACCAGGGCGCAGTCCGCCACCTTCAAAAAGAACGCGCTTTCGTTACTCGAGGAAAATCAGAATTCCATGCAGGATGGTCAGCAAACTATCAACCACGAAACAGCAAACGTTTGTACCACCACGTGATTCAAAGGGATTGTTGGTTGTTTGAGGGGGCCCCATAAATCGGTTTCTTAACATATCGGACTAGGATTTACCACAAAGATGACTGAATGTGGTGGATTTTGTGGATCAAAATACCAGGAAACACACTTACTTGAGTAAAAAATTTAGAAAACAAGAACTCGAAATCCCTACCTGTGGCGTCCGTCTGCTAATGAAATGTGTCTGATTGGCACAGCAGCCATGAGATAGCGGCACGTAAGATTGCAGGCGACCGCAACGGGCGCTTTCCTCGACTTCGGCAATCGCTGATGATGTACGTTTCTGAGCCAGAAGAAATAGGCTATTTTTCCGTGCCAATGGTAAGTGTATGATTATTTTATTCTTAAGAGTAAAACATAACAAATTAACACAACACAATAAGAAGAAAACCATACAGATGTGTTGTTTATTGATATCTTGCCGTCATTTGTTAGCTGTTGCGGCAGTCAGACGTCTTTCGTTAAGAGACAGTTGCCCTAAACTGGGATTTCGAGTTCTTGACTTGTACTTTTTAACACGGGTAAGTTTCTTCAAAGAAAGTTTGATACACAAGAACAACTGCCTTTGGGCACCTCTGTGATAAATCCTAGCGCGATATGCTAAGAAACCGATTTATGCGGTATCTTTAAACATCCAACAATATGTTTGACTAACGCGGTAGATAAGGGAAGACTAGACCCCCTGCCACCTGTAGTACCTGCAGAATCCCCAAGCTCTGGACCCTCAAGGATCTACTTTTGGCCGTTGTACTGGAAGCCGTCAGACGTGGCCAAATGACTTTTATATTATAATTAAACTACAATGGCAATTATTTCGTAGCGATGTTTTCAAAGATAATAAACCAAAATTTCGTCAAAAATCTAGTAGTAATAAAATTACTGTTGTATTAATTTTAGACAAATGATGACGCTTATTTAAAGTTTCTGTCATTCTTCAGGCATTAGCATAACAGAGCTATTCGTTTTTGGAGATAATGTACATGACATAAAACATGCCCCTTTTTCGGCGCGATTAAGATCATCGTAGGGATTCCATCAAACAAGGTTTAGAGCACTTTTCTACCGTTGCATTGTAACACTGCTTCGTCTAGGATTCAGCACACGTATAATAAACCCTACAATACAAACGTTGATTTGTCTGCTCTTTTCCAATGTTAAGAAAATGTCTCACTCATGTGTGCTAACTTAGGGTGTGACTGTGTTTGATTTTTTATTGGATTTGTGTGGGTCACTGTGGGTGTACTCGTATTTAGGCCCAACGGCTGTTTGGGAACACGCAATAAACGCATGATTGATTGATTGATATCTTTTTGTTAAATACATAAGTTAACATTTAACAACGTGCTACACTGGTGCTACATTTCTAAGGGGCTTGGAACCAGTCAAACTGTTTGTAAACAGATTTTTTCCCATAACTCCCCCAACAATGTGTTTTTGGGAAAATAAAGAAAATTATTAATATTATTACTATTATTTCTGACTTCGGTGTGGTTCGGCGTGGTTGCTTTTCTTCTTCCTCACATGTTGTTTGATATGCCCTTTGTAATACCTTCATTAACTCACAATAAATGTTTATCGTGACTCTTAAGTCTATAGCATATCCTAAACCTTTCGAAGTTTGACTCCAAATTCAGTCTTCTCCTGTCCCTCTTGTCAAAATTGTTTTCTGATAGGTTCTGTCCACTTCGTCGCCTGCCACAAAGCTTAGAAAGTTAATAAATAACAATACTACAAAACGTAACTACATCACTGATATTTTATTTTAGTGCTACAATTGATGCCTCCACTGTCCGCAATTCATCCGAAGCTGGCAATAGCTTACCTCGCGACATTGCAGCAGGATGGTTTCAACATCAGCGGGTGCCACCTTCTCACCGCGGATATGAATCAACTCGCTCATGCGTTGTACCAGGTAGAGCCAGCCTTGCTCGTCGCTGTAGCACTGATCACCTGCGCCAAGGAACAGCCCCCTGTCGAGTGCTTCTCTGACGGGGCTTCTTTTTTTGCTTCTTAAACCAAATGGTTAACTCCTAGAATATCTTGATTTCGCACTCGCGTTAAAAAAAGACCGCCGCGCGAGTACTGCGTCGGCCTTTGGCTGCAACTCGTGCCCTAGCTGAGGGAACACGACTTTCAGCCGATCGCTGACGTAGCGCTTGCGCCCTCGCCGACTGTTTTCTAGACGCTACTGGATGGCCTGGCCGGCCAGACCACGAAAGCACGTGAACGGGCCCTACCCGTGCCCCACCAGCCGTCGGCATCGGTGACGGGCTTGTCGAAGAGAGGCCAGTATCCCCGCATCAGCCCTGGTCCTCGCAGCATCAGCTCGCCCCGCTCACCAGGACCCAGCACCTCTCCGGTCTCGGGATCTCGGATCTGAGAGCGGAGCGCGTCACCCGTTATCCGAGTAGCACGTGGCGTACACGGTGCATGCAGCGCTCGGCGACAGCGCGAGGGCTAATGTGAGCCGCTGAAGCTCAAATCCGTTGTATAAATGATGAAAATAATCCCTGAACAAGGGGAAAAAGAGGGTCAAAGGACAAACAGAAATCTCCAAAGGAGATTTGTGTTTGTCCTTTGTCTTTGGCCAATTGGCCAAAGACTCGGCCCGACCCAAGGGCTAACCCCAGCACAGGAAGGTCGGCTTTAACTTACTGGCGAACTATACACAAGATCGGGGTCACATCACTTCATCTAGTTGGACCATAATCGCCTACCCCAACACTTCATAGCCCACACATCCCTACCCCCTTTACCTCGGGATAACTCGGTAAAGGCAGGTGATCTCCTCAAAAAATAAAGACATGTTTTTTTCTCACTCACTCAGTAACCAAAATAGCGTTTGAATCAGCTGTGCAAATTGACCAGTGTTCTTGGACCACTAATCTAGAGCAATCAGCGTCTATCACGGAGCTTACACGAATCTAAGCCGGTGCAACTTTCGTCAATGTCTAAACGAGCAGGTGTTCAGCACTTTTCTTTACGTGGGCAGCGCGAGATTTTGTTCCAAGTGTCCCCATCATGGCGAAAAAATGGCCCAGTAAACAATTTTAAAGTTTGTGATGTAGCAGCGAAAAGAAGCGCCTCTAAAGAATGGCCAAAATACATACAATGAAAGGGCAAATTGTGGTGATGCAGTGTGACCACGATCATCATATCTATATTCCTGGAAAAAGTGCAATTACATAGCAGTTCTGGAATCTAATTTGTATGGCACGATTCATTTTACTTGATCTTTCGTGGGGAAAACAACTTGCACGTTATGCGTTAGGTCACAGTCTCAGTGTCGTGTTAATGGTTACGCAGGTCCCTGCATGAACCTCTCGCTTGAGGGACAGACACTTTGACAAGAAGGTGAGCGAAACCCGCTTCCTATTAGCCCTTTAGCAAAACCTATTTCCACTTCTGAATCAACGACTTTTACTTGACAAAAGCAAAACGCACACACAAAAGCACTCTCCTCGACAAAGTATAAGTAGGAGACGTACCATAGCCTCGAGTCCTGCGCCCAATTGGCCTATGGACGTGAAGTTGGGCGGCTTCCCGTAGCTACCCGCAGTGGCAAAGAGGACCTCCGTTTGGCCGTACACTGCGGACAGCGTCCATGGAAGGGGGACACGAGGATAAGGGAGTTTTCGGAAACCGTATTTCGCCCTCCGGTAATGCACATGTGCGCCTCTAGCGTTATCTGCAGGCTAGAACACATCAGAGAAAAGTGTGCACATTCGTGTGGAATTTGGTGCGTCGCATATAAAGACAGTATATCAACCTTAACAAAAAAAAAATCAAGTTTGGTGTAGAATACGGTTAAGAAAAAGGAAAATACTTGCAACGTTAATAATTGCAGAAATGCACCTCTCGAAATTATTGCCTTTCAAACGGTTTGCACAGCTCGAAGGCACAGTCAATAGGGGAGTGATTCAGATGTTGCAAGTGGTTCACGGTGTCTGTATATGTTAACTCAGCGTATCTGGAAACCGTGTCTGGTGCATGTTGCATGTTAACTGTATATGTAGAAAGCCGCACTTGAAGAATTCACAAAATACTTGTTTTCTTGCGGTATCGAAAGGGCCATCTGAAAGAAGAGTAGCTTTCAGGTGGCATTCTCTCCCTTCGCCTTGCGTAAGCTAAACTAACCTATTCGAAAAACAACCTTTAGGATATATAAACATTTCCTTTGAGCGGCGCACCTTGCTACAACTGTTTGCACGTAGATAGCTGAACTGATCGAAAAAGCTTGTGGCCCCCTAAAGCAAGCTGCCTTCGCAATAACACAATATGACCTGTTATCTAAAGGCTGGCTCACAAATTTGCGCTAGAGTGTGACCGACTGCCTTACTACCACCCTGAATACTTACGACAGGAGGACAAACTGACACACTAGCGCAACCTCTCGATAGCCGCAAATACTTCCCGTTATATGCGTATAACTATAACTGAAGGTTTTGCTGTTTTTGAAGGGGCCGTGCAACAATAGTAGCAAGGTTTTTTTTTTTAATTTTATTTAGCTTAGTTCATTGGCACTAGTGAAACCCGAAAATACAATTTTATGATCGTCTATGGAAAATATAATTTTCCACAGAAGACCATAGACCATTTTTGTATGGGACGCCACTGACCAAGGAATTCCTTTGTTGCGGTATAATTTAAAGGACAAAAGCAAGCGTTTTCTTTCAATCTCTCCTTCACAGAACTTGGTGACGTAGCTAGAGGGTCGAAGTATCCTCCAATGGCTATATTTGAATGTGGTACATAGGTCAAACCCGAACATTGCGTGAGCACTGGGTTCGGGCTCTTGATAATCAATAGCTCGAAAAGCATTCGAGGTGTCCCGTGTCCAATCGCTGCAATGACGACAATAGCCGAACCATAACAATCTCTTAAAGTCGGCGCGTGTCTTGTGCTTTGCCAATCCAAGTGCTATGCTATGATCAGCTTTGGCGGCAAATAATGGGCTCCAGATCACGTTGCCGCTTGTTCTTGCTGCGAGTTAAGCAGGTGAACACTGCTCGTTCTTCTTTAATCTTTTTCCTACTACTTCTGGTGTCTGTGGTGAAAAACTAACCAGCGCCAAAGGTGCCCCGTCACGGCGCTCGTGGTCTCTGTGTTTCTGCTGTCCCCGGCTAAACCGATCGCGTGCCGTGTTTCTGCGCTAAATATTTCTGTGCGTGATTGGTGCGGACGGTGCTATAGCAAATCCACAAGACGACGAGCGCCATGACGATGCACTTTTCTCGCTTCTCCCGACGGATTGTATACGGCGGTTGCGGTAGGACTTGGTGTGAAACGAACCGTATGTAGCCTCGTCGACGGATACCTCGATGGCTGCAGCCCGAGCGCGCAGCGGTGACAATCAGGAGGCCGCGGCCATGGATGTCTCGGAAAGCAGTCACTTACGCTGAGTGAAGCTCGTCAGATGGAGTCTGTCGTAAAGCGCCCTGGCAATGTCCGTGGAGATGTGTGTCGCGGCCGTGGTCAAATGCTGTAGCGAGCTAAGGTCGTAGCTGTCGAGGTGCGGGTGGGCGAGCAGCTTCTGCGCCACAAACGGCACCGTGCTCAGCGCCGTCGCCTGGTGTTAGGATGGACAAGCATAGCCCTCGTTAGATTCTGGGCAAGTCAAAAAGTAAAGATCCGCGACTTTGAACCACGGTGTATGAAGAAGTGACAGCGATAGGGCTATCGATGGCACTTCAATGACTGAGTACGAAGCTATGTTGTGTGTGATAGAGTAAACGAAGTGTTACTACGTTCTATAACATCCCTGTTATTGAGCTTAGTAACATCTTTATGTACTCGATCAAACACACAACGCAGCGCTATGGTTACTGAAGTATATGTAGGAAAGACAACACACTGTGCGCAATACTACGCTAGAAACTTTGATCTGAGGGACAGAGCGGCAGTGGCAGCAGGTTACGCTGGAACCTAAGCAACGCTTTTTCGTCATTGCAGGTTGGTACTATTTTGCTTTGTACAAACTGATATTTATCTTTACCATCTGCTACTGCTGCTGCTGCTGCTGCTGTTTTGTTCCTGCTGTAATTCTTGCTGTTATTTCTTGCTGTGTTGCGATACTTGACAGATGCTCCAACATGGCAGATGACTCAAAAAAAAAAAATCTGTCTACATTGCAGTCAAGCCTTTCCGGAAATAGGCTCGCAAATCACATGCGTAGAGTGCCAGTACTCTTACCATATAGGTACTTGTTCTGGCGTCCTGGAAGAGTCACGTGATGCTTCACGTAAAACCTGGCGCTGCCAGACATGTAAAGTAGCCAAGTCTCGAGGCAGTCAGAGCAGCAAACAAAACAAAGATCTAGATGTAGCTGCTATGCTGGTCAGCATGAACGCTAAACTAGACATCATATTAAACTTAAAAGAAACAGCGGATGCCATGGAACAATCACTTCAGCACATGTCAGCAAAATATGATGCAGTGCTGAAGCAAATGGATGAACACGACGGGGAAATAAAAAAAACTGAAAAAAGGGCGGCGCATTTGGAAAAAAACATAACCAACAGCGGAGATTGACAGGTTAATACAAAAGTTCACCACCTTGAATGGAGGAGCCGCATCAAAAGCTTGAAATACACTGGATACCCATGAGCGAACAGAAAAACCTTTTGGCTAAGATAAATGACCTAGCAAAGCAACTGGAAGTGCCCGACTTGACAGCAGATCAAATCATGGCCTTGCATCGGCTTCCCTCGCGCCCTGATAAGATACTCGGAATTTCGGTTCGCTTTTCAAATCAAGCAACTGGGATCTGTGGCTCGAGAAACGAATGAACTTAAAGCGAATTCGTAGCAAAGCATACATCTTGGAAAACTTGACAAACCAGGAAAAAACACTTCTTTGGGAAACGAGAGAATGGGCAAGGGCAAGGCGGTACCAATACGTTTGGTACAAACATGGTACCAATACGTTTGGTACAAACATGTCATTCATAGCAAAAGAAAAAAAAACTACGCTGCTGGTAGTTTTTTTTTCTTTTGCTATGAATGACAAAACTCTTTCGTTAAAAACTGAAATCAGACTTGTTTTCTTCTTTCTTTATTAAATGACAAAAGAATTGGAGATGTTGGCTGCCAATTCGTTTTGTCATTTAATAAAGAAAGAAAGAAGAAAAGAAGTCTGATTGTTTTGTATTCAAGAACTTGTTTCCAAGATCCAACCTAAAGTGCAACTTTCTTTCACCCAAATGTGCAATCGATACGGAATAAATATGATGACTTAAACATATTTTTGGACGGGTTTAATTTTCTTTTTGATGTTATTACGCTCAGAGAAACATGGTAAACAATATTGAAGAAGTAGATAGGCTTGAGAATTACGAAATATTTAGTGCAAACAGAACCAATAAAGTAGGTGGCGAAGTATGTATACACGTAAAAAGAGGTCTTGAGTGCACACCTTTAAGTGACTTTACAGCTATTACAAGTGATTATGAAATACTAACTTTACAACATGGAAAAACTGTTTTTGTTTTCTGTCGTCTATCGCCCGCCAAGTGGTAATTTCTCCTCCTTTCTTGAGTCTCTCCACGTGTATTTTAAGTTTCTTGGTGAAAACAAATTGTCTGTCTGTTTTGGAGGTGATATTAACATAGACATGCTTGCGTCCTCCTCACATAAAATTGAAGTATTGACTTTATATCAGTCACACGGACTCTTCAACGTTATTTCCCAGCCTACTCGCTTTAAACCCCGAAATACGGCGTTGTTGCATTTATTTTTAACAAATATTTCAGAAACGGACATAGTTGCTGGAGTGGTTGGGGAAACTATTAGTGACCACCTTCCAATATATATGCTTGCAAATGTAGACTACAGCTTCAAAAATATTTGTGATGATCAGATCTATTTTAGAAATATAAGCGCTAGAAACCTTGATCTTTTTTAACAACATAAGTTCCGAAGTCTGGAGCGCGGTGCTGTCTAGCGTGTCTGCTGACGAAGCCTTTAATTTTTTTTCTTGAAAGGTTTAAAATTATTTATGATCGCTGATTTCCCTATGAATTTCATAGGGTTCCTCGAAAGTTTTGTAAGCCCTGGGTTACAGGAAACAAAAAAATATAAATAACAAAAATAATCTCTACCACAGATTCGTGCACACTAAAGATGTTAACATCTTGGTTGCATTTAAGAAACTTAGAAATCAGTTAACAAAAATGTTAAGGCAGGCTAAACGCGTGTATTTCAATAATTTATTTCAATATGACAGATGATCCGACGTAGCGTAGAAAAAAGTACATGAGTTAATAAAACAAGGGTGGCATGCAGATGAAGTAACAGATGTAAAAATCGAAGGTGTCGTCGTAGAAGGGGTTGCTTTGGCCAAAAAGTTTAGTGATCATTTTGCTACACTTGTCCAGAGTGTACACTGTGCGGATGCCGTTAGGTATGTCCAGAAGGTTTCACATAGTATGTTTCTGTTTTCAACTGACGAACATGAAGTATTTTCTGTTCCCCAAAGCTTAAAAAAATAGTAAGAGCTCCGATATATATGATTTTCTAATTAAACCTATCAAGCATGTTTTCGGTCGGCTGTTCCTTGCTTAACACATATTTTTAATCTAGCGATTGAGAACGGAACTTTCCCCCAGAAAATGCAGGTAGCAAAGGTATCTGTGCTATATAAAGCTGGAGATAAAAACAACCCCGAAAATTATAGACCAATTTCTGTTTTACCGATATTTTCAAAAGCTCTAGGAAAAATAATACATCACAGGCTGTATAGTTTCTGCGAAAAGTTTTCTATCTTAACGCCCTGTCAATACGGATTTAGGAGGGGTTTCTCTACCGAACTTGCATTATTAAAACAAAAGGAATTAATTTTAAACAATATTAAAAAAAAGTTATTAACACTAGGAATATTCAGATTTTTCAAAGGCGTTTGACCGGATCAATCATGACACATTACTTCAAAAGCTGCATCTTTATGGCATTCGTGGCGTTACTCTATATATGATTAGAAGTTATCTTAGTTATCGATTCCAGTGTGTTGAAATAAATAAAAAAAAATCGGATCTTAGGAAACAGACTGCCGGCGTACCGCATGGGAGCATTCTGGGACCACTTCTTTTTAATTTATACAACAATGACATCGTAAATATTGATAAAAATGTAAGTCTCATTATCTACGCTGATGATACCAGTATATTCTTTTCAGGTGATGATGCTGATCAGATTATAAGTGCCGCAAATATTTTTTTGGAAAAGTTAAATGCCTGGAGAAATTTATATTCATTAAAATAAATGCCAGTAAAACAAAAGCCGTATTATTTAGATCACGAAATACAAACTGTTTCTATATGTCCATTCTTTCTCTTGGAACACACTGTATAGGTATAGTTGAAAGCGTAAAAGTTTTTCGAATTATATTTAATCAATACATGTCATGGGACGAGACTGTACAAAAGACACGTCAAAAAATATCAAGAGTTATAGGTATAATGTACAAATATCGCCACATCATCCCGATCGCGGTTATGCTACTTTTACATAATTCCCTCTTTTACTCAAAATATAATTATTGCTTCTTGGTATGGGAAAATTTTACAAAAAAAAATTTACACTTTACAAAAAAAGCTTTTCGCATTATATGTAATACTGAGTATGATAGTCATACTAGTTCATTATTTAGTAAATTGAATATTGTACAGATTCCTAATCAATATTACTATAAACCTTTGCTTGCATTGAAAAGGTCTTTTTTTGCCAGAAAGAAAATGTATTCATGTCTATTTACAATCTTAGGATGAGAGAGGTTGCCTATGAAACTAGGTCTGTAGACACATGGTTAGTGCCGCACTCCAGAACGAACTACGGTGATCAGACGTTGAAATATATAGTACCTTGTTTTTTAAATCCCCTGAGTGAACTGAATGTAAAAGTTTTGAATAAAACCATAAAAAAATGTACGTTCCATGTTTGTAAGGGAGTGCCCCTAGAATTTGTAAACTTGGCTAAATCAATTACTTTTCCCCCTTCCCCCCTCCCCCATCTAATGTTGTTTATTTTTGCGCTATTAGTGTGATGGTGAAAAACACATCATGTGTATGTACAAGCTGTCCTCTTTCGCTGCTGTGGGGAGGCAGAGGCTCTCAAGCAACAACTGAGTTGCCTTTTTCTCTGTCTCTCCTTTCCAAACGGACAGAAATAAAGAGTGTGAGTTTGAGTTTGAAATCGGGACGACAGTTGTACCGTTACGACTGGTGGGTCAGCCTGAGTTCTACGGTGAGGAATGTGTAGTGGCGTCCCGGCCGCCAACCAGGGAAGGCACTGTCGCCTGGCAAGAGCCAAGTGCGAGCGCTTTGCCTGACGTCACGGGACAGTGCAAGGCCCATGACGTCAGGCGAAGCGTTTCACTGCGAGCGCACGTGAAACGAAGTTTTCTGCCTGGCGCAATGCCGATGCCGTGAATGCAGCTGGGAAGTCCCCACTGAAATGTTGGAACCCTGGAGAGTGGGGAAACAGAAGGACACCTCGCTGCACCCTCACATTAAGTCCCCACAACAGCTATCGCAGTAACAATAGACCGATCGCACCAAGCGCTCGGCGCATGCGTGGCGTCGCCATAACTTTAGTTCACAGAAAGCGAACGGCCCTCTCGTGCTTTCTCGTGCTCCAGGCGCGCAGAGCTCCAGCGAAGTTGTCGCACGTGCAGAAAGACTAAAGTTCCCTCGATGCACTGCGGCAGCGGTGGCGTAGTCAAACTGGCTGGTGACATCGGTCTATTTGCGAGACAGCAGTAAAAAGGGGGCTCGAAGGGGTAACCAGGCATGTTTTATTGCAACACGTCTGTGCTGCAACAAAACTTCGTGCTTTACCATGTTTGCACTGATCAATATTAAGGCTGGTTCGCACAACCATTTTTTTTTATCTTTTTAAGTTAAGTTACGTTACGAGAGCTGGCGCACAATTCACCAGGACATCTGTGCTTCATATTAAACATGGCTACCGGTTCAAGGAGATTGCCTGGCACGCGACATTCGAGAAACGAATATTTTTGTAACTTATACGTAACGTAAAAGTCGTTAGAAAACGGTGCTGTGTGAACCAGCCTTCTATTGGCCCGTTCATTCACTGCAGTTTCTGTACCATTTTACAAGTGCAGCCTAACAACGTAAAGCACATGTCGGAAGTACATTTCCTTACACCGGATGTGCCTGCATTTTCTGCCCCGGTGTACACTGTTTATTATAAATCGAATGACTCTAACATTTAATGTGCGTTTCGTAGTATCCTCTTTTACCTATAAGCTAAGGAGACACTAGACAGTGATAGTTCGCCAAACCACCCTTGCGTTTTAAGTATTGAAGTAGAGGCCGTGTCTTTTGATTGTGATCATCCTTGTCCGAGTGCGCGTTTTTCTGACCCTCGTTTGGTGGTACCAGCACTTCGTTTCTTGTGACGGGACATACAGCGCCCCTTGCAATTGCAGTCCACGGACGGTGGCATTGTATTTTACATAACGCAGCAATGAACGCGTGCACAAATTCACCTGTGCCATAAGACCTTCGATCATCGGCAGTAATTTCCCGATGCATTTCACTCTGTAAATATGCTTCCGTCAATAAGAAAATAATCCACCAACTCATTGAGCAGATGGGTCAGGCCAACACTTCGGAGGTTACAAGACTGGAGGGCGAACATTTCTACGTCACCTATACTCCGTCTCACTAAAACCGTGCAGTACAGCCAAAGCTACAGGGCAGAGAGAGTATGCCAACCTGTTCAGGAGGAGGGAAAGGAGCAACGTGACAGAAGGGCTCGCATTCCCAGTTCCTCCTTTCCCTCCTCTTGAACAGGCCGGTATACACTCTCTCCCCTGTAGCTTTCGGTGTTGGTGAGACGTAGTACAAAAACGCGGCGCGTATCGAACACGAATGCTGCGTCAGCGTTCTGCTGGGACTCGTGTCCTTCCTGATTGAAGACGAGTCTGAGCCAAATGCTGACACAGCAGTCGTATTCAATCCACTCACCGTGTTCGCCTTCTTAGGTGACGGAACTTCAGCCCTTACGGGACATTCAGCACTTCAGCACTTACAGGGCACATCACTTATGGAGAAAAATACGGTGGCACATCTTCTCTACTTAGGATCCCTTGTCGAAGCTAGATATTTTGTATCGGTGGCCGGGCAATGTTTCGCGCTTAGTTGTCTCCGTGATCTGTAGCCGCTGCTGTTGCTGAGAACAATAACGACGCCTGAAGCAGCTGTCCCCTTGCGCTGCGTGGGATTTTCTAGTTTGGACTCCGGGACAACGCGAACTCTTAAAAACGTCTGTGAGTTCAATTTTCCGCAGAAGACAATGGCACCCGAGCATGGCAAACAATGGAAGATCCCCAGACAACGACAATGCTTATCATACAATTAAATGTAAGGAATGTGATGTGCGCAGGGGTCATTGAGCTAGACGTTTCTTATGCTCACATGTAATTGTTTTAAAGTCTAATTATATTGTGAATTTCGTCATTCGCTGGAGTCCTTCTATTGCCCTCCGTAATTAAAAGTCTCCGCTCCATAAAAAAAAAAAAGAGAAAAACACAATTCAGGTTATTGAGCCATCACGCGCTTCTTTCTGTCGCCCACCCGGTATTTCTGAAGAGCCTCGAGGAGGGTTTCCGTGCTGGCCTGGTAGTGGAGGAAGACTGTCGAAGCGCCCTGGACGATTCCCTTGCACACGCAGACCATGAGCGCGTACATGTGGCTCAGCATGCTCGTGCACACCAGCACGTCTTGCTCGTCCAGCGACAGCTGATCCGGGTGCCTGCGCAGAGCAATGGACCAGCTTGTGCAACCAGCAGGTGAGACGCGCTTCGCTTGGTACAGGCCACTAAAACGCTTTTCATTTATTAAAGACCGTGCCGCGCCAACATTTCGTGATTTATTAAAAATAGACGACACCACAATATTTTCATCCTTACGTTGGACTCAAATTTAGCTTCAGTGCCCCTCTAAGTTATCGAGTGTGGGACTCAAGCATGCCATTTGAAATGCAATTAAGAGCCCCGGGTTCGAAAAAAAAAAGTGAATGCCGTTTGCAATTCCCTGTAACGCCGGTTAGAGCGCAGCTCTTGAGGAGGAAGATGGAAGCGTACTGAGGGATAGGTGACTCCTTGAGGTCACGTGACCAAAGGGGGCTTGAGTGACCTGAGGGGGGTCGCGTGACCTGAAGGGGTCACATGAGTCACGTGACCTCTGGGGGTCACACGACTTCAGGGGGTCACGTGACCTCAGGGGTCACGTGGCCTCAAGGGGTCACGTGACTTCACGGGGTCACGTGACATCAAGGGGTAACGTAACCTCAGGGGGGTCACGTGACCTGAAGGGGTCACGTGACCTCAGGGGGTCACGTGACCTGAGGCGGGTCACGTGACCTGAGGGGTGTCACGTGACCTCACGGGGTCACGTGACCTCAACGTGTCACGTGACCAGAGGCGGGTCACGTGACCTGAGGGGGGACACGTGACCTGAGGCGGGTCACGTGACCTGAGGGGGACACGTGACCTGGGGGGTCCCGTGACCTGGGGGTCCCGTGACCTGAGGGGAGTCACGTGACCTGAAGGGGTCACATGACCTTAGAGGGTCACGTGACTTCAGGGGGTCACGTGACCTTACGGGGTCACCTTACGGGGTCACGTGACCTCAAGGGGTCACGTGACCTCAAGGGGTCACGTGACCTAAGGGGGTCACGTGACCTGAGGCGGGTCACGTGACCTGAGGCGGGTCACGTGACATGAGGGGGGTCACGTGACCTGAGGGGGTCACGTGACCTCAAGGGGTCACGTGACCTGGGGGTCAAGTGACCTCGCGGTTACGCCGACGCCGACGCCGACGCCGCTCAGGCTGGAAACGGGCCCCTAAGAGCTGCGCTTTAAACACACGTGGCAATATTATAGATCGTCAATCACCTCTGGTTCAATCTCTAGGGGTGCTATTCTGGTCGCAAACGGGTACCTTTCGAGTTGTGACGTATCGAGAAAGAAGGGGCGGAGCCTCAAACTAGAATGATTCTTATTTGAGGCTCCGCCCCAACGTTCGGGTTCACGCACGTGGTCAGTTAGAATTTGACGATCCCCCTACGTCGCGATGACGTGTCCACGCAGTTGGGACGCAGAGGTCCCTGCATTTCCCCCTGTTCTTTTAGAGCGCAGCTCTTAGGGGCCCGTTCCCGGCTTGAGCGGCGTCGCCGTCGGCATTGGCGTCGCCGTCGGCGTCGGCGTCGGCGTCGGCGTAACCAAGGTCATCCCAAGGTCACGTGACCCCCAAGGTCACGTGACCCCTCCCAAGGTCATCTCAAGGTCACGTGACCCCACGTGACCCCCTGAAGGTCACGTGACCCCTCGAGGTCACGTGACCCCTTCCAAGGTCATCTCAAGGTCACGTGACCCCAATATGACCCCACGTGACCCCTTGAAGGTCACGTGACCCCCAAGTCACGTGACCCCTCTGAGGTCACGTGACCCCAGAGGTCACGTGGTCGCCTCCCCAAGGTCACGTGACCCCCCAGGTCACGTGACCCCCAAGGTCACGTGACCCCTTCCAAGGTCATCTCAAGGTCACGTGACCACACGTGACCCCCAGGTCATGTGACCCCTCTGAGGTCACGTGACCCCTCTGAGGTCACGTGACCCCCCGAGGTCACGTGACCCCTCCAGGTCACGTGACCCCAAGGTCACGTGGGGGTCACCTTTGGGGTCACGTGGCCTTGAGGTTACCCCCAGGTCACGCCTCCCCGAGGTCACGTGACCCCCTCCCCGAAGTCACGTGACACCCCCCCGGAGCATATTAAAGAATGAGGGGAGGAGGAGGAGAAGGGGGAGGGGTCTACCCTCCCCTCAGTACCCTTCACTCCTCCTCCTCAAGAGCTGCGCTCCAATTCGGCGTTACAGGGATTTGTAAACGGCTTTCACTTTTTGTTCTCTTCTTTCTTTCCTCCGGGAGTTAAAGCTAGTGAATAACGAAGAAAACCCGGAAAATGGAAGGAAACAGAGAAAGATAATATTATCCTTTTATAAAGTACGAAAGGTTATTTCAATAATCATGACATAAGCTAAATTCAACTTGTTTCGCGAAGTCTTTCGCTACGGTGTTTCAAAATAAACTTGGCGAAAACCGCGGTAACGACCTTGGAGCGCGCTCAACTAGAAACCAGGTGACACGAAGGCAAAGACGACTGAAGCATCGTTAGTATAACGCAGGCAACCAGTCAGCAGCATGTGCTCGGTTACACTCCATGGAGGTCCGATCGCATCCGATGTAGCCAAAGAAACAGCGTCCAAAGTGCATCGGCCCGACGCCGATCGTCTCTGCGCGTCTGCTGTCAACGTCTAAATCAATCCATAGCCTCCTTTGTACCGTCGAAGCCTGGCAGACCGCCCCTAGAAGCGGCGGCCGAAATGGAAAATGTTAAGTGGCAGACAACGGATGAGTGGAGAGCCATGTGACGGGCGCCCCGCTGCGGCGAGACGCCGAAACACTCGTCTCCCGAACGATGGAACGTCCGCTCGTCCTCCTCGCGTTCCTCGCGCCACAGCGTCGTTTCTGGTCGTGTTTGAAATCCATGTTCCGGATGCTCGCCGCTGCAAAAGCTGTGCGCTGAAGTCCAGGTTCTCCGAGAAATGCTCTGTGCTACCAGATCCTCGTTCTCCAAATCTGCTACCGGGCACTCTATGGCTCCGTCGTCGAACTGCCAGGCTTTGTGAGTATAGATGAGGCTATTATCAATCACGCGCAGCGCAAGTGAGCCACGCGATCATCCGCTTTTTATACTTCGCTGCGTGTTACGGAATAAGCAACAAACGCCCAAAGAAGACGGGCGCCGTGATTATGCACTTTTGGCGAGGTTTGAATGGCTCCGTCGGATCACAAAGCGTATGCCGCGGTCGGACGTAATATGCAAAACGGGGCATAGAGCGAACTTTCTGCGAGTCAGCGGATTCTGAACGACGTTTTTGCTATGGGCTCACCCAGCAGCCTGCACGCTGGCGAGGAGGGACTCGTGCGTGTGTACCACCGCCTTGGGTTTGCCCGTGGTTCCGCTTGTGAGCGGCAGGCAGCACGGCTGCCCCGCCACGTACTCGGGCGACGGAGGGGGATCGGAGTCGCCTGAGTCCAGAAGCTCGCTCCAGGAAAGCGTCTTGTCACCGGCCTCTCCGGTGCCGCCCAGCAGTACTACGTGCTGAGAAAGACGGAATAGTACCATGGGGGGCTCCGAATTGTTCCCGTGTAAATCGTGAAGCATTCACTCGAAGAAATCCGTTGCATTCAATTTCTCTCAAAGCATTAAGTGCCGACGTAAAACCACGGTTTTCGGCAGGAACGATTATCCTCTTAGCGTTCCCCCTCTTTTCAGCTGCGAGGGAAGCCAAGTTGGAGCAAGACAACTGGTGAGGTCGGCGAATCACCAGGCGCTGCTTGGTTTAGACCTTATGACACTGAGCTTGACGTTTCAAGTGCATACATCATACTCAGTATCCCAGCGGAGACAAATTATTTTGTGTAAAGAGATCTGCAGTCCCGTCACTCGCCCAGCCCCTTTCATAGCTTGCAGCGACTGGTCCTCCTAAGTGCCTTGCGAAAAGGTAGACGCCTTGCATTTTTCGGCGATAGCTGTTATAGGGACTTCCCAGCTGTATTCGAGGCGACGTCATTGCACGAGGCAGAAAACACCGCGACGTAATCAAATCACGGGGCCCGACGTAGCGGTGCCGACGCCGAGAACTCGTACGCATGGCGTCTCAAACCCCGTCCCTTGCACACGTTTTTAGGGAGTATGCTGCATACCGTTAAATGCCGTTTGCGCCGTATATTTTTTTTTTTGTCTTACGTACAAAAAGAGAGAAAATACGAATTTCCAGTAACTCTAACGTGGCGACACTCCCAGCTACGTGATTTACATACTCACCTTAACGGATCTGAGTCGTTTTTGGACCCGCAGCACCTTTGCCAAGGCGTTAGGCTCGCAGAAAATGGCGTCCGGCTGCAGGGGCTCCATCCGGTCGACGATAACATCTGCGGGAGTCAAATGTGAATGTTACGCGACCAACCACCCGTTTCCCGCTATTTTAGATATTCAAATATCTGGCAACAATGATTCTAAGCAACAAGAAGGCTGAATTGTCGTTACTTTGAATCGTGAATATAGCACAATCGTCATGCGCGCTATGGAGAAGACGACAACTAGAGGCTCTACACTTTGTAGATGCACATTATTAAAGGCTGTCCGAACAGGACACTTCAAGAAGGCGTGAAGCGACCTTTGTTTGCCATATGAAGCGCGGCGATCCGCTTCCGTCCGTTTTTCTTGCCGGTGGGAAAGCTTCCCTACGCCAAAGTCCGACTTTGTCCTTCCCGAAGGACTAGAGCATGCTCATCACGTGGGTACGGATAACCACTCACGCACTCCGTTGGCTGTCAGTCAATCGCTCAAGGCTTCCGCTGCTCTTCAAGTCGAGTCTTGTCTTGTCTTGTCTTGGCAGGCGATTTCAATGTGCCCGATATAAATTGGGAAACGCTAAATGTTGGTTGTCGTGACAGAACGGTTTGTAATGCAGTCGTTGACTTTGCTGTATCATTTGATTTAGATCAAGTTGTTAGCGATCGTACCAGAGATGTCTCCATTCTTGACCATATTTTTCTTAGTCATAGCATTACACGATTTGGTTATGATTGTAGTGTCATAGATGGTCTTTCAGATTATAAAGCAGTTCTGGTAACACTAAACATTCGTGTTCTGCACTCTAGCGCTGAAATCGTCACTGTTTTAGATTTGAATAGAGCTGATGGTGTAGGTATACTTGATGGACTATGCTTTTGTTCGGACGATTTGAAATCATCAAGTCGTGACTGTGATGTTAATGTGTTGTATTGCAAATTTAGTTCCATAGTTAATAACTGCCCTACCGAAAAATCCGGTATAACTTTTCACTATCCGGAATATGGAACCGGAAATTTGTTACTGGAAACCCGAAATCCAGATTGCAGACAAAAGAATAATTTCTGAAAACCTAAATTCCAGATAGAGTCCAGATAGAATCCAGATAGATTTCCGGTTCCATAATCCGGATAGCGAAAAGTTATACCGGATTTTTCGGTAGGGTGTATTTCAAGGTTTGTTCTTGTTAGCGCAAAAAAAAAAAGAAAATCAACCAAACCCATCCATGGATCACCAGAAAAGTTCTGCAGGCCTCACGTTGTGTAAAAAGAAGTCAGAAAATTAAGAAAAGTTCTAATCCAGGGACATTAATCGTTTCCAATTTAAAAAAAAAAAAAAACTCTTTGGTTGAAAAAATGGCCGCAGCGAAAGAATATTATTTTAATACTGTTTTATCTCAGTTTATGAAGTACAACCCAGCCAGGTTCTGGAGTTCCATCCTTCCTAAAAGTGATTTACGTCAACGCTTTATTATCCATGACCAATGTGTTACCGATCCAGAGGATGTCTTAGATGAGTTTAATGAATGTTTTCGATCTCTCTTTATTCCAGATAATGGTCACGATGATGGTTTTAGTTCGTACATATCGAATATTGTAATCAGGATTTCTGGTGTACATAACTTACTCTTAAATCTTGATTGCAAGAAGAGTTCAGGCCCTGATAGTATTCCCAATTTTTTCTTCATCGCTATTCTTCTTGGACATCTCAATACATGACTGTTATCTTTGAAAAGTCTCTTTCAACTGTTACTGTACCCATGCTTCGGAAATCAGCTACAATAGTTCCTTATAGGCCGACTTCACTTACATCACCGTCCTGTAAACTCCTAGAACATATAATATACAAGCATATATGTGAACACCTTGAAAGTAATCACATACTTTGTCCTCAACTGCATGGTTTTCGTCGTAATTTTACAACTACCACGCAACTCCTTTAATTAACGCACGACGTTTCATCGTTTTTAAGTAGAAGAGGCCAAGTTGATTCCCTTTTTATTGACTACGCGAAGGCCTTCGATAAAGTTTCCCACTCAAAGCTGTTTTTAAAATTGAGAGTAATACTTAAGAATCTGTTATTACTTAATTGGATTGCCGACTATTTAAAGGACAGAACACAGTTTGTTTCTGCCGGGAATGTTATCTCTTTAGATGCCATGATTAGCTGAGGAGTTCCACAGGGATCTGTTTTAGGGCCTCTTTTATTTCTTGTTTGTATTCATGATGTTGTAGAAAATAGAGCCGTTAAAATTCGTCTTTATGCCAATGATTGTGTCCTCTATAACTATATTGGTACCGTAAATGATCGGGAGCTGCTTAATGAGTCTTTCGTGCGCTTTTTTTAACTGGAGCAAGAAGGGGCAAATGGATATTAATTTTGAAAAGACTGTGTTTATGAGGTTTACAAATACAAAAATCACCTTTAATCTTGCGCTACGGGTGTAACGAGATAATTTGAAATAAGGTTCAATAGTTTAAATAACTAGGAAATATATTTACACCTAACCATGCACGTAGCCAAGATCTTTTTTTTTTTTTTTGGGTGGGGGGGGGGGGCTGCTAATGACAAAATGCTGTATGAGGGGGAGGGGGAGAGGAAGTCCCAGCAAAATGTAAGACTTCCGGGGGGGGGGGGGAGGGCCGGGCCCCATGCCCCCCCCCCCCCTCCCCGTGGCTACGTGCCTGCACCTAACCATAAGTGGGAAAGCACGTTAATTTTATCCATTCTCGTGCCCTTAAACGATTGGGATATGTTAAACGAACCCTGAAATTTTTGACCAAACATGTTAAGTTACTAGCTTATAAAAGCCTTATTAAGCCTATATTAGAGTACGTTTCCGTAGTCTGGGACCTCCTCTCCCCCCTCCCCCTCATACAGCATTTCGTGGATATTAAGGAGATATTAATCTGCTTAATTCTATCTAGACTAAACCCGTTCAATTTATTTTTAGAAGGTTTGATTGCAATTTTTCACCGTCAACCTCCATGTCATTCTTAGGGCTCGATTGTCTTTTCTTCAGGCGTACTATTCAGCGACTAAAACTTTTACATTGAATTGTTAACGAGGATTGTGCCATTAAACTTACTTACCTCATTTATTTCTCACTTAGCACACGCGCAAGACATTTATATCCTTTAAACATTATTTCATTTCAGCCTCACATTAACTGTTTTCAAAATTATTTTTTCCAGAGCACGATAAATCTTTGGAATAACCTAGACGGGTCGATTCTTATGCTCCCCTATGATACTTTTGTTTCATAAATTTCCACAATACTTTCAATTAATATGCGAGAGACCTCAATGGAGGTCATTGCAGCAGCGGGGAAAAAGAACAGAATAAAGTACAAACTTAAAAGTCCTCCATGCCCGTTAATTTTAGGGTGATTTTGTCTGTATATTGTTCTGCATATCTCACCCTTTTGTACTTTATTCTGTTCTTTTTCCCCACTGCTGCAATGACCTCCGTTGAGGTCGCAGTATTTGGAAATAAATGAATAAATAAATAATCTTCGGAAGTCACATCTTTCAATCCAAACGGTTGCCATTAGACCATCGAAAAAAAATACCAGGCATTCACGCGCGAAGTCCTGTCCCTGCTTGTCCCTGCAGCATGTATCACGACGTACTAAGGAGAACGAGAAAGAAAGAGGGCAGCGCAATTGCTCACGTGCTCTCGCCTGCGTTCTCCATCGCCTTCGTGGTCTGCTACAACCGGTTCCGTGCCTAGACTTCCCGGCATACCTTTCAGCGCCGCGGACGGCGCTGCACGTCTTGGAGCATGTCTATTGCAACCGTTCTGCACTGCATAGGCAGACCGAAAGGAGTGCCTATGCACTAAGCTTAGTAGTGGCTCTATGCGTCGAGAAACTGAGGGAGAGGAATAAACGAGAGGGGACGTCAGAACGCCGAATGCCAGCGTCCGGTGTTTGGCTTTCGCATTCGAACGCGTTCGGCGAGCGCATTGACGACGAAGGCAGGTAGCTTGAGGTCTACCCCCTAATCCTTTCAATCAGAGATCGGCGTTCTGACTTCACCTCTCGTCTCCTCCTCTCCTTCACTTTCTCGGCGCATAGTTCATTTGCGGGTTAAGAAAAGCAGGAAAAGCCTTTCCCCAAAAACTCTCCTTCCGGCATGATTGTCGCATTGGCAACACCTCCTAGAATACAAAGCCTGAGCGCTCGGAGCGATGAAGTCGAACTACGTCAGAGCGGACTGCTGAAGGCTCAAATTGCTCGAGACGTCGGCTTTAACGCGACGCACCACCCCTTTGCCCCAGAGAGTCACGCGGTTGTGCCGTGCATCGACTTTATGGCGCCTGGGCGCCGTCGGGATGCCGACTGCGCATGCGTCGGCACTCAACATTAGGGAGTTGTAGTAGATCGTTTCTCTCCTCCGCTACGGTATCCACGAAGAAAACGGTGCATCTGCGCAAGCGCGCTGCCAGCCTTGTCTGCATAGTTCAAGGTCTTGTGGCGGATTACGGAGCGCTATCCGGGTGCTTAGCGGGCTGCGGAGACGCTCTACTACAATTCCCTATTCAATAAGAAGCAGCGTACGCTTTTACGTTTTCCTTTTTTTATGAGTTGTCTAGGTCATTGTCTTCACGGCGTCGTTGTATCCAGCGTGCGCGCTTGTTTGCCTTCGTTGTCTTCAACGGCATATCGATGTCGTTGAAATGCTGTGTCCCTCGGTGCCGAGGAAGGTATACACCGGAGGCCCGAGGGTGAAAGTGTTCAGATTCTTGAACGAGAATGATTTTCGTGGTGCTTGGATACGAGCGATCCCGCGGGACAACCTCGCCGTCTCGGGCCACCCAAGGTGAGAACTTCCTGTTCTTTCGTTGTTTGCCCTGGTCATTGTTTGCCCTGGTAGAACGCAAAGTATCTAGAAATGCAGACACACAAGAGTGAAAATACAAGTTCATGTGGCTTCGCGAATATTTCAACGTTTCGAGATTCGAGAAGCATGCCGCGCTTTGTCCTTAGCAAAGCCATCGCACGTATCATTTACTTTGCGGGAACGAGTGTACGACAGCTCTCCTTTGGCCCACGGCTTTGGCGTTTCACCAATATATAAGTTTTCTAGTTCGTAAAATGACGGATGCACGCTACATTCGCTCGTTTGTTCGCTCTCTTAGCCTCTTCGCTCGAGCTTCCCGTTGCTTATACGAATTCGCTATCATTTTCTAGGTGTGCGAGCTTCACTTCAGGGACGCTGAAGAGCTCCGGGAGAATCCTCACGTGGACGACGCAACCGGGCACGCACCCGTACGGAAGTATAGTTTCGTCGTAGTTCCCGGGATGCCCGATCAACTTGTCAACTGTGCACACCCTCAGCGAAGACCCGAACTCAAAGAAGAAGCGAAGGGATGCCGCTGTTGGCAAGACGCGATTGCAGAATTGTTGTTTGGATGTGACTTCATGTGGTTCGGTTGTGCCTATGTGCTTGTCTGTGATATTACTGGCCTGCTCAAACCTTATGGAATATACGCTATTGATACCTGAGAGTTATCTTGAAGGTGAGAAATACCCCATTTCCTTCTCCAGCAGCAGATGTAAATGCTTGAAGTTGCGAGACTTTAATTACTGTGTTTAAGTTTACACAATTGTTTTTTATATCGTATCAGCATCGTTGTTTAGTTCCACTTTAGAGACATATGTTAACACTTATGTAGCACTAAAGATGATGTACACCAAGTATTTAAGGCCAAAATAATAACAGTTTTTGTCAGCGCTGTGTGATAAAAGTCTGACTTGTGTTCTCTAAACACAAGTTTACTTGTGTTTAGGTTCGATGTTCTTGCTCCTCTTACACATAAACAGTGTTGCGAAACTAGCTGTATTGGAAAAGTGTAAAGTGCAACAAGTAACTCAACAAGTACATCATAGGTGACAAGTGCAGCCGCAGCCTGGAGAGTGCTCTTTTAGGTGTTGCGCGAGCGTGATGAAGCTGACGTATTCCTGCAAAAGTTGTCTCGTGGCGGAAGAGAGCCGTTTTACTCGTACACTTTTCTGATAAATAAGTCTACTGAAGCTCAGGAATGAAACCCGAGTGCGCAGCTGAGTACTATGTACTATTGTTAGGGGACACGAAGTCTACGGATATAAACACGGTGCCCAGGCGAGCTGGTGGCAGTTTACCCTTACCATTTATCAGTACTGTTGCGCAGTGGATCTGTATGAACCAAAGATGGTTCAAAGAAATAATTTAGCTGAGGTTCGTGTATGTCCCCGTTTGTTTTTTGTACCATTGTACAAGTATTTCCCTCCTGCTCCAGTTTCGGGTCAATGTCAAGATAAACTAAGTCCACCATTTGCAGCGATAGTCGCACCATCTTACTGCTTAAACAAACAATTCATATCAGACTCGAGAAGTCATGATATCCGTATTTTTGTCCCGTATTTTTTTCCCCTGAATTATAATTGACGACAATAGTTTTGCAAAGTAATAGTACTACGTACCGTTGAACATATTTTGTGTTTGAATAATCGTTTAGCTGACATTTTACCTAACAAAACAAGTTTTGATTACAAAACGTCATTCATACGATAGTTCCACCACGCTAGAAGGCTCTTCTTTTCCTTTCTTTTTTCGCCGTACCACGAGGCGATTGACCGCCTTCTGGGGAATAAAACATGTTTCTGAGCCTAAATGTTGCTCATATATTTATTTTCAGCTCACTAGACGGGTTTCTCTCCACTAAAACTCGTTCCGACGGCAAATACACTCGTGATTCGCTCACTTCCATACAGTACCTCGGCGTTCATCAGTCAAAGCCCGTGACGTCACCGAAGGAGTACTACGGCCTTGTTTTCTAGGCCGCGTTGGCATTGGTCCACCCTCCTCCTCTCCAGCGTTCGCTCCGATAAAGTGACTAGAGTGGAGGGATCGTGGGAGGAGGCTGTCCTACTTTTCTTAGCCTGAAACGGACTGCGGGTGTGTAAAAGCTCTCTCTTGAAAGTTTGGTGAAACGCTCGCGCAGCTCTACTACGGTACCTGGAACGCGTCGTAGGCTTGAGTGGTTAACGTCCTATGCCGCCCGTACAGCAAACGGGGACCCGATGGGGTAACAAATGGCGTCACAAGAGCGACCGAGTGTCATGCTGACTAACGTTGCGATCCTGGCGGTTGGTGCTAGACGTCACTGTAAAAGTTACCAGTGAAGGCGACTGTCACTGTCCTCGCAGCGTCCCAACTGCTTACTGCCGGATCATCCGTGGACTATCAAGCTGGTGAGCGTCCTGCAGCAGAACAGGTGTCTGCCAAATCCACTGCCACTGCTGTGACATTGCAAGGATCGCTGCCGGCCAGAGCATGACCACTTTCTAGGACGCAGTAAGCACACTAGCCGGAGACGCGTTCCAGGCGCCATAGCTGGACGACGTGGTTGACCCACCGACGCCGAAGTCGGGGTCCCCGAAAGTGACGGCCACGTTGGCGCAGGCGGCCCCAAGCATGGCCGGCAGCAGCTCGGCACCGCTGTGGCTGAGCAGCAAGACGGTGCTCCCGAGGCCCAGGCCCAGCCTCCGCAGGCCTCCGCACACGGCACGCACCTGGCCGGCTAGCTGGCCGTAGCTCCAGCTCGCGTGGCTGCTGCCGTTCACCTGCCAGTCAGACCGCAGTGCGTATTCATGGTTCCCGCTCCTTGGGAAACGGCCTGCCGAGTGGTTTTTTTTTTTGCCGGGCGAAAGCGAAACACACTTGCGCATGCGCGAATTAATTGGCCAAGTAACATTTTCATGTAGGATATTATTTTCGCTTTGTAGCTTCCTCCCGGGAGGGATTCTAACCTCTATTAACGACTGTGTTGTCGTGCACTGGGGCATTTGACGGTATACTTGAAAGACAAACGCAGAAACATCGAGGGGCTTTACTCGTGTCCGTTGGGCCGTGCCTCCGACGACGAACTCGGAAAAGTCAGCTAGATCACTGTTCCTATATTCCCTCTCCTGTTTAACCAACCGGCTGTTGTTTCAGTATCTGATGTTCAATTTCTGCAGAGCGATTTATGTAACTTGAGGTAAGGGCACGTTTACATTTTACATTTTTAAGTACCCTACGAAAAATAATCGTTTGACTTAGGCATTCCGGCAAATGCAATGAAGGAGCTTTGGCACTAATACGCAGTTTCTACTCTTCTCTCTACGGTGCAGTCCCCGTTCCAACCAAGCCGAGAAGGGGGGCGGGTGGAGGGGGGGGGGGGGGGAAGATGGCAGTGATGGCCCACAATCTCGCCCCCCCCCCCCCCCCCCCTTGCGCGGTGCAACGCCATTGGTCGCGCGCGCTGTTGCAACGACAAACCAACAGCTGCGCTCCGCTGTTGACACCCTGCCCCCTGACCTTGCTACGGTGAGAGCAACACCAACACAAACAAGCGAGGTCCGCGCAGGGGACCTGACTTGCTGGTATAAATTGCGAAACACATGCGCGTCAAAACTTTCCGATCCGACGTTCGAACCGCTGCTCCTACTCGCCGCACTCGACAGTTCGAGACACATACGCTTCCGACGCGTCGTTCCGTTCAGCTCCGTCTAGTTCTTAGTATCCTTTAACCGGATGGATGGATGAATGATAATGTATGTATTTATAATGGGCGGTAGCTTGCGCCGCCTAGCCTAGAAACCAAAAATATTATTCTCCCCTCGCATCGTGGTTTGTTTTTACTTCAAAACAAACAAAACATATTTAATATATTCCATTAGAGTGTGCATGCCTGAAGATTTTACGTGAGGTTACTTTCCTGTTCAACATCACTTAATCACGACGGACCGCAGCGGACCATAGAAGCCATCCCAGCGAAGCGAGCACTGCGTACAGATCACGTGATAACGCACCCCACGCATTGTTGCGTCTCTCTCGAAGTTCACTCGACAATCGCACGGCATTGGAATGGATCGTAGCGTCCGCTGCTGTCCATCGTAAGGTGAAACGGAATGTAATCGGGTTTCGACGGTCTCGAACGGTCCCAGAAGGCCGGTCGAGACCGTCCTTGCTATTGGGGAGGAGGACAGACCGTGACGCCCCAAGCGGTTAACTTATCAACTACACGGATGGGGACAACAAATACAATGACGCAGCGCTCGGCCGACATAACCGAACGCGGCGTCAGCGCTCGGCTGGAGTTCGTGTTCTCCGGCGAGGGGGAGCAGGGGCTCTTTTGTTTCCACAACGGCCTGCATGAACAATGCAGCATGCACGATCCCAGCTCAGCACAAAAGCCGAAGTGGGTCAAGCTCGCATTCTCTGAGGATAGATCCGGCACTTAACGTCGCTTCGTCGATTGTTAGTATTTTTTACATTAAACTGTGCCCCGCGCTCTATTGTAGAAGATGACACGGCCATGCCCATAAGGCCTGTTGGCATGTGCACAGGCCTTGTGTTGAGTAAACACCGAGCGTGGGGAAAACAAACGGGTCAGAGCGCCCCCTCGTTTAGTGCGCGCAGGAAAACTCGATGGCGTCCGTTTCCTTCGCAACGACGAGTCGCGTGACGCACCGCGCACCGCCATATCCGCTTCAACGGGCCACGTAGCACCTCCTCTCCCGATTGGTCCGAAAGTCACGTGACAACATGACGTTCGCGCCATCCGTGCTGCCATTGGCTGCGGCCCTCCGACAATCGGACAGCCGTGCGGCAAATATCTGGCAAGTCGATCGCATGCCGGAGCCGGACGGAGAGGAGCCCTCGTTCGACGCTGCGGTGCGACGAAAACTCTCGGCTCCGACCGTCGGATTGGAGAGTTTCGACGCGCATGTGTCTCCCGCTTAAAACTTTCAAAATCCCGATAATGCAGTATTTCATTTCAAAACAGCAATGACACGCTTCTCTCGTTGGAGTGTAACTGGCACCGCCTCAGTAAGCAGCTCTTTACTTCGCGAGTCTCTCAGGCTTCCAGGATTCCCCAAATGTATATCGAAATCCCACGAAATCAGCTCTAAATCAATACCTTTTTACCTTATCCCCTAACTTGCCACTAAACATGTTGTCGGCGCAAGACTAAAGCACGTTTAGTGCATAGCTAACTTGCTATGCGAAGCAGTTCTTCCTAAGATAAAGTTAAGGAAAAGGATTACGCTTTTTGTTTTTTAAAATTTGTAGATTTTGATAAAGTAACCAAATGCTGATTCTAAATGCTCGTGCATCCTAATTAGCCCCAGAAAAGGGGAAATTAGTGACGCTCCTCGTGGAGCAACACCTTTTCAATTATGGGACTACTTGACGCGAAAATAGGTATAAAAACGAATTCAACACTCAGTCAGCCTCACGGCCGCAGTCCCCTTGAATCCCTCATTTGAACTGATTCAAACTCATGAATGCATTAATTCGAACTCAGTGGTCACTGAAATTCACCAACTTCAGCTCAATAAACTTACGAAATCGCTTACGTTCTCAGACTCACAAACTAAAATTGAATTTCAAAGGCCTTTTTTCCAGGTATACACTGGGGGGGAGTCCTAGGCTAGAAACTGGGCAGCTTCGAACATTTTAAGAGTGCAGCAGGACTTTGAATCAAAGGCATGCTGCCATTGTATTATAATCCCAGACATCGTTAAGGGTACTCCGGCGATTTTTGAGCTACCTCAACTAACTATATTTTCTGACTCCCCGGCCTTTACCCTTTCTGGTATGCTACTTAGTATCGTGAAATTCATAATAGTTATTGCGAAATCCGCAAATGAAAATGATGCAAAAACCAACATTCAAATATACCCGCCCTTTTCAGTGCCGTGATGTCAGTGGAGGGCAAGCTTGCCAGTCGGGCGAACAGTCTAGAAAATAGAATATGCCAATCATTTGTTCCGTGCTGGAGCGCGGGGTCTGGAGCGAGCTTCAAAGTATTCATTTGACACATGAAACTGCTTCGAATCAGTTGGGAACAAATTCTACAGTCCAAAGAGTGGACCCCAGCACTTCCACTGACGTCACTTTTTTGTTGTTGCTAGTAGAGACTTTCAGTTTGAAAAACACGGTGAGGACCAAAATTGTAAATTCAATAACTTCATGAAAAAAAAATTATTTTGACCTAATATTTTGGATACTATTTTGGCGATGTTGTTTGGCGAGTTTAGCAAAATTTCAAGCAAATCGGGGACCATGAAGAAATCGGCGGAGTACCCCTAAGCTGCTCTTTAGCAGCTTTTCAGGTCTGGGTCCTTGTAAAAAGGCAACAAGCCTTTGTAACAGAGGCTTTCTGCAGGATCTCAGACCTCATTAAGAGGCTCTTTAGAAGCTTTCAGGTTCGTGATCCTTGTGGGTGATTCCACGTCAGTTCATGCAATGATGGTCCGGGTCATAATTTAGATATTTTTGTTAAAAATATATATGAAAGCCATGTTCTTGGGAGGAACATTCAGCTAGATATGAACGCCGTAACAATTTTTTTCGCTGAGATATAAAATAGAGAAGCTTGAGGCGTGGAAATTGAGAAGATTTCACAATGCTACTTTGCACAGTCGTCATTTCCTTATCGAACCTTTCACGGCACCATAACCTTTTTAATAGGTTTTACAAAGGTTATACAACACACTCATAAAAAATTAAAAATATCCATAAAATATTTCAATGCAAACAAAAATATCAAACATGGCACAAAAACGCGTTTAGAGACATATTCACAATTTTTTCGCAAATAAACCATCTTTCATAATACTTCACAAAACATATCAAAATGCGCGTATTTAAATATTCTTTACGAATATATAAAGATAATATGCCCACCCTTAAACATATTTTTGTTATCAACTCGGAAATTTGGCTGATTTCTCAAAATGTGGCAAGATTGGGCGTCGATATTTAAAAAAACTCCATCTTTTATTTTATTTAAACTCCCCTTGGCAGTTTGCAGTGACTTGAACTAACCTGTGATGGCAAACGATTGAGTAACATATGACCTCCAAGCGGGAAAAGCTACGACAAACCTTCACTCGGAGCGAGCCGACGTCTTCGTCATAGCGGCTTTGCCGCACAGCACCAAACGTTTGGGCGTTAGTTATGGCATGTATTTTATATTATTAAAATTCTTTTTTTATACGCGGTGAGTATTAGTGACGTGAAAAGGAACTTTGAGCTGGAATACCATTAATTAGCTTACAATTCACAGGAATAAAACGGCCCCACTCTGCAAATTCGCTACCTATGCATCATACATAAGCTTAAAACTCTCACTTGTGCGAATGGCCATGTGTACATCTGGCCTCTCGGCATATGATGACTTTCACAGATGAGTTTCCTGGATTCCTTTGACAGGTTTTACGGTGGTCCACTTTGCTTGCTTCACCGCACGAAACTCTCGAACTCGAAGACAGTTGTGAGCACTGCACAGAGTGGTTTGAGGCGTTTTGCAAAGTGCTGAAGGCATGTAGTTCCCACCAGGAACGCAAGCGATTGTACGTGCTTCTGCCACCGATCATCCTGAAGAAAACAATATTGTGTCTGGTGTCGGGTGCGACTGCCTACATGATTGATCAAACATGAAAACTGAAGCGCAAAGGTGGTGTTTGGGCAACCCCTGATCCCTACATGGGGAAAAAGGCGAATACCGAAGACGTGGGGGTTGCAATTGAGTACTACACACGCGACGACCTCGCATGCTCTGTTCAAAGCCCCGACAAAAAGGACGTCGTCAAAGCCATGATCAACGACATGTTCAAAGTCGTAAAAAGGTTTATGACCCGCTCTATTAAGGAAACTTACCAGCTGTTTAGGAAGGACCATCCCCAACCCGAACTAGGCATCTCCAAATTTTATTCCCTACGACCAAAATGGGTAAAAAAAAAAAGTCCCGAGCACGAGGTGTGCGCATGCATATATTGCGTCAATTTTCAGTTGCTTTTAACGGCAATAACAAATGCCCCAACGAAGACATTTACTGAAGACGACCTCAAGCGCATCTACCTCTTCTGCGCTCCACAGAACGATTGCTTTCTGCGCCGTTGCGAAAAGTGCCCAAAAACGCAGAGCATCTCGCTGCAGTCGCTTCATCTCGACGAAGACGAAGAGATCTGTTTCGCGTTATGGGACGCTGGCGAACTCGTCAAAAAGGTTATGGACACTTCTGCCTTCCTGTGGCAATAGGAGAGCGAAAAGTATATGAGGCATTCTTACATCCTTGACCTTGAACGAAGCCTGATACATGACACAAGAACCGCCTTACCACCCTAGGCAGTGATGTTCCACTTCGAATTTGCGGAAAAATGGACAGTACTCTTTCCAACCGAAGTGCAGAGTTTTCATTGAAAAAAAAACTCAAGTGTCTCTCTCCACAAGTGTGGTTACATCCACGCAAGGCACGCAAAGCTTTGCCGTTGTCACCGATGGTACACGACACATGACACAGCTCACGCTTTTCTAGCCACATAGGCCATAAAAGAGTATGTTAATGTTCATTTCCCAGTCTTTTTTTAAATAATTTTTGTATCAGACGGAGCGGCGGCGCATTTCAAGAATCGCTTCCAATTCCACGAATTGTCTCGGAAGCCGCACTCTTCGGCAAGATGGATCTTTTCAGCCACTGGACACGGAGAAAGCGCTTGTGATGAAGTAGGTGGAAAAACCAACGCTCACTAAGTTGAGATCTTCGCTCAACTCAACGATTGCCACCGCTAAAGACTTTGTGGAAGTGCTACGTAAAAAAGTAACAAATGTCTGCATGTTCAACATGTCTGTGGAACGGGTTCGAGAGTTTCGTGCGGTAAAGCAAGCAGAGTGGACCACCATAAAACCTGTGAGAGGAATCCAGGCTTCTCATCTGTGGAAGTCATCATATGCCGAGAGGCCGGATGTATTCATGGCCACTCGCATAACTGAGAGTTTTAAGCTTATCTATGCATAGTTAGCAAATTCGCACAGCGGGGCCGTTTTGTTCCTGCGAATTGTAAGCTAATTAATGGTATTCCAGCTCAAAGTCCATTTTCGCGTCACTAATACTCAGCCCTTATGAAAAAAAGAATTTTAATAATATAAAATACATGCCATAACTAACGCTCAAAACGTTTGGTGCTGTGTGGCAAAGCCGCTATGACGAAGACGTCGTCTCGCTCCGAGTGATGGTTTGTCGTAGCTTTTCCCGCTTGGAGGTCATATGTTACTCAATCTTTTGCCATCACAGGTTAGTTCAAGTTACTGCAAAGTGCCAAGGGAAGTTTAAAGAAAATAAAAGATGGAGTTTTTTAAATATCGACGCCCAATCTTGCCACATTTTGAGAAATCAGCCGAATTTCCGCATTGATAACAATAATATGTTTAAGGGTGGGCATATTATCTTTATATATTCGTAAAGAATATTTAAATACGCGCATTTTGATATGTTTTGTGAAGTATTATGAAAGATGGTTTATTTGCAAAAAAATTGTGAATATGTCTCTAAAACGCGTTTTTGTGCCATGTTTGATATCTTTGTTTGCATGAAATATTTTATGGATATATCTAATTTTTTATGTGTGTGTTGTATAACCTTTGTAAAACCTATTAAAAAAGTTATGGTGCCGTGAAAGGTTTGATAAGGAAATGACGACTGTGTAAAGTAGCATTGTGAATTATTCTCAATTTCCACGCCTCAAGCTTCTCTATTTTATATCTCAGCGAAAAAAATTGTTACGGCGTTCATATCTAGCTGAATGTTCCTCCCAAGAACATGGCTTTCATATATATTTTTAACAAAAATATCTAAAATATGACCCGGACCATCATTGCATGAATTGACGTGGAATCACCCTTGTACAAAGGCAACAGGCTAAAGTAACAAAGGCCTGGTGCCTATGTAAAAGGACCTCAGAGCTGTTACATGTGTCAAATGCGAACAAATACTTTCTGAGATCTTCAAGTTGCACTCAGAACGCGATGATGCAATCAGGCATGTCAGTAATTAATTGAACGATAAGAACAGTTATCGAGGACGTTCGTAATCAGAAACGCTCGAAGTGCTCCTTTCGACCTTATCAAGTGCTCTCCGATGAAGCGCAATTGCAATGGACCGCGTTTCAGCGTGAAGTAATCCGGTGCTCAGCGTGTGATGAAATCACAGACTTACGAATCTCGAATGGGGGTACGCTCGGAGCTTGTCCAGTATGAAGGCTCCGAAGTTCTGTTCAGTGTCCAGCGGGTGTCGAGAAAAGGGCGAGCGCAGGACGTGGCGTTCCATGGTGCTCAATCAACAGACGAGAGATCTATAGCTCTTGCTGCGGGAGGTCCGGATTCTTATATCCGTTGGCTTGTGCAGCCAGGGAGGAGAGGGCGGACCGCCGTGATTATCTCTCGAATTCCACGTGATATAAGCGGTGCGGGGCGTAAACTTTTTTCTCCACTTGTGCGGATGTCAGCCCCTGTCGTGTGTTGCGTCAAAAAGTAGACAGTGTAGTAACCGACAGCTTCAGAAACGCATGATGTATCTTATTTCTTAAGCGTCTTGCTTCGCTATCCGTTGTCAGGTGTTTTTATTAGCTAACGCCGCCGTGTCATCGACTGAAGAACGATACGAATTTGCTTTGGACTCATCACGCCCCGCCTTCCTCAAGTTGTAAGCAGACTTGTACACGTTACTAAAACAAATAATGAATTCCAATTACAATTACTCAGGGCTAAATTCTAATTCATTACAATTACCCTTTTATAAAAGTAAGTGACCGTTACACCAAAAAGTAACCTGTTAATTTCGTGGCGTTACTTTCAATATTGTTTTCCTCAGGTAAAAAAAGAAAAGTAAGAAGGTTATTTAAGTGTTTACTGATGCCATCTGTCCCGATTATTGACCTTCAGTGACAGCTGGCTCTCTGAGGACTCGTCAAACAACTTGCCTCATTTATTCGTTAAGACGTCGACAGCTACGATGAACACCCTTTCGACTGAGGCACTGGATGGGAGTACCATAGTCAGAGCCGTGCCCATAGTGTGCCTCACGAATGCTTGATGCACTGTCATGTGCTTCTCCGGCGAAGTGATGAAAATGCTCTTCACCCCGAAGAAAGAGCAAAGCTTCGTTGTGGCAGCCGGTACCTGATTCTGTCGGAATCGCGAAACTGTAGAAGTCGTCATGGAACTAGCCAAACATGTAATAAAAATTGAAATATGTAGATCAATACATTCCGGTCAATATTGCCATACGGTAGCAGAACGAAGTTAGTAAGACAGGGTAGTTACATGTGACAGTTAAATAATAAATAATGTTTCAATTTACATTCTACTTCTTTTGGCTCTGAACATGTCGAATCCAGGCTGAGACGTTTGTGAATAGGAGGATGTAATGTTTTTACAATATAAATATAAGTAATAAAAAATACACCAGAGCACTCCGAAGGAAACAGATAATTACAACGACGGTTAATACAAAGCAATATAAACGCACGTTTGCCGTACGTACCTTTCTTGATTCGGTTAAAAAACGCACAGAGCACGTGCAGGTAATGTGTACGCCAGAGTTATCGAGATTTTTGTCCGCCGAGGCCACGGCAGCGAACGGCAGAAAACTAAGCCCTCGCGAGCTTCACTCCTTCCTCAAGTGCGGAACGTCAAGCCTACGTCAGGTATACTTTTTTTTTTGTAGTAAAAAAACTGTGTTTAAAATAACATGTGTCCTGCTGGGGTAAAAACCTGAGAAAAAAAAAACCATTACACTTTCCGAAGTTCTTGCAAAAAGCTGACGCACAAAGAAGGCGTCTGAAGCGCAGATAACCTGGCTTGAATTCGCAAATAATGTGGGCCAGCCCCACACTCTAAGCTCGGTAAACTATACTAAAGGTTCACATTTTCAAATCCTAGTATACCTTTAGTTTATAAAATACGTTGTAACTTAAAGCTCTGTAACCATTAGTATAGGTATACATGCTTCAGATCTTTTTGAGGTTACGTTGTATGCACCTACTTTTCGCCATTACTTGTAACCTTTAAACAGTGCGTTCGACCGACACACCAGATTTGTCGTTCGACACACAAAAAAAAAGTGCCTCAGACGCCCGATGCTAGCCTCTGAGAGCACGTCCCTCAGACGCGCTCTCCGAGTCTAGCATCTCGTGCCTCACACGCTTTTTTTTTTTTTTTTTTTTTGTATGAAAGGGTAATTTTGTGCTGTGTCGGTCGAACATGATACAACACGCCACGATGTTGTAAAGCACTGCCAAAATAATTGCAACTCAGCAGATAAGAAAATTATAGCTTTTTAATTAAACCAAAAATCAGCAGAAAATACGCTATGGTCACAACGACCAATGCCCTGAATTAAACAAACATAAATAAACAGCACGCAACGGTTTACAAAGCACTATATTATACATGTGAACAATACATAGTAATTTGTCCATGATACTGATAGTGCTTTAACACACCATCCAGCAGTTCTGCATTTTTTTTTTTTTTATCATTAATCTATCCAGGGAAACTGTATTTAGAGCAAAACAGCTCTTGAGGTAGAATCAATAGCTGAGCATCAAAAGGGTGGGGGAAGTTCGTGATGTAATAGACTGCATCACACATCACGATGTCTTCATCACGGGTACATGAGGCATTCTGAGTGCGAGTTCTCCCGACCTTCCACCCTGCAACATCCTATCATCTGTCTTTCTGCAGTACCCTTGGCACGCGAGGATTCATTGCGCCAAACATCGCCCGTCATCGTTCAACGCCGACAGCACCACGTGCCTGCCCAACATCCCGCACTTCAGTTCGGCAGCAGTGCGGACCGAACCAACATCTAACCATTTGAATTTTTGTATTTCAACTCAGTAAAGCGTCTGTGCACTACTGCTGAACACAGCAACGACTCTTAGTATTTTGAAACTGTCTTTGTGAAAGTAACCAAGTTCCGTGTCGTCGGGTGTTGCTCTCTTAATTCCTGATTTATAATGTGTAAGGAAACGAAAGCCATTGAGAAAGCCATTGAAGAGCTAAGACGCGAACCTAGGGCTGAACTCATAAGTCTAAAAAACAGTGTGAAATATTGTAACGACACTTGTGACGGTGTAAACAAAATCAACAATGAGAGGAAAAGACTACAAAAAGATGTTCAGAAACTGGCTAAAAAATACTAACCGTCGAGAACTGAAGGTTAAACGAAAAAAAAAAATAAGAACTTTAATAATATCAAAGATGCAACAACCTTGAAAAAAAAAGTAGCGCTAGAGGAAGGTGACGCATGCGACGTTGTTAAAAGAATTGGGAGTTTTCTGAACGAGCCGATCCTTGACTCCGATTTTGACGTATGCCACCGCGTCCCCACCTTCAAGCCCTCTGAAAAGAACATAGTTTTTCGCTTCGTGCTACACATCAAACGAGATCAAATTCTTTGCAAGGACAAAAAGAAGAGAATGACAACTTAACATCTTGACTATGGTCGGCATAGCAGCCCTGTTTATGCCAATGAACAACTGACGAGTTCAAACAAAAAACTTCGGGTTCCGCAGTACCCAAGAAAAAAACGGTTGGCTGGAAGTTTGTGCGGTTCTCGGTTGGGAAAATCTTTGCAAGAAAGGATGAGCAAGCAAATGTTCTAAGCATGCTAACCTGACTGACGTTGAAAAAATAACAAACTAAATAAGATGACTACGCCAAAGGGTACACATAAAACTATTGTGATGCACTCTAAGAAAAAATGGAGGAAAAAAGTAGCAACGGCGCGTCTTCCTCCCTCCTACTGACACGCCCCCAAGCGGACACGAGAAAAGGGGAGGAACGAAACGTTTTTCTCCTTCTCCACGCAGACGGGAGAAAGCTTTCGCCCTCCGGACTCATCTTCTTTCGGTTTCGTTTTTCAAGCAGGTCGCGCACGTTGTTTAATAAATAGCTGTTGAGTTGATTGAGCTTCAGCGGCAGCGAAGGCCGCCTGTAATTCCGTCTTCTAGTCTAAACGTGCAGAACGTTTCGGTTGCATTGACGTTTTTATCACTAATTTTATCAAACGAGCAAACGAAGCCGCTAGAAACAGCGAAGTTCCGGAGCAGTGCCAGCAGCGCCACGTACACTGGGGGATGGCGGGGATGGCCGTCTCCGGATTGCGGGACTCGCGCGGCACGGAGCTGCAGTCACTTCGGTAGCGAAACCACGCGGAACTGTATCGACGTTTTCGACGTTATACAAACAGCAGGAACTGCGTCCAAGACAAGCAGGTTTCGCTGCCGGCTGCCTGGGTGCCTTCCGTGCTGAGTTCGGTTCTGTTTTCCGATGCCGAGTGCAACCGGCGTTCAACGTGGTTCTGTGTTTTTGCGTCTCAGCAACATAGCTGCAACATCGTGATGGCAGTGTTGTGGGTTGTGAACAGAAGACTGGAATTATCGCCGATGTGACCGTGTGTTCGCGTATCAGTAGTGTAACAACAAGATGAGATCGTAAACTGTTGGGCATTGATGCCGCTGGTCGGGCCGTGATCGGAGGGGTGTCGCAGGTTGACATTCCGCTTTACGTTAAAATGTTTAATACCATTTGAGGTATTACGTGCAATCGATCAACGTGCGGATAGCCATGTTGGAACGCTGGTCTGAACAGTAGAAGCTCCTATCGTACAGTGGCCAATGTGACTCTCGGAATTGTCTCGTCCCCGAAAGCGATCGCGCTCTGGAGCAACGACTGAACAGTACGAAATCGTGACGGAAAGTACGTATATTTACAGTATGGAATTTCGGCATTAAAAAACAATAGTAGGTAAAATCTAAAAAAAGAGCTACCCGTTATTTTGCTGTTAAAATTATACGGTTCCTGGAGAAACTGCCCTCCAAGTGGCACGCTGGGATGAGCGCTAGAAGTTTTCGGGCTCGCCACGGCGTAGCTCCGTACACACTTGCCGCAAGTCGCGGCTTTGACTGCATTCAAATTGATCGAAAAGCGATTTCTCAGCCCGTGAAGCATCACTTCTAGCTGAGTGAATATCCGCTCTACAGAGATTAATTCAAGACGGCAATTGCAGCTTTGCGCGAACAGCACAAATAGAAAAAAACAATAGAAATACAGGCTACGACGTGCCATGTGGGAAACAAACTCATAGCTTCGAACCGCATTGGAGCGGCTTGATTTATTGGCTTTCAAATAATTACGGCATGATCGAGCGTTTACTTTTTATAACAGATTCATCCCCTGAGCCATTCGAAATACTGTCAAAGGTACGACATTGCTGGGAAAAAATCCACAAACTGGGAATATTTGTTATTGCTTAGGGAGTCACCGAAAAGTTCCGTACGTTCAAAACGACCAGTATAAAAGA